TTATAATTGTGTGTTATTTTACAAACTGCATTCATACTGTTTTGTCACAGAAGTCTAACTCTGAAAAAATTCAATCGATTCGTGAAAATATAATCAGATATTATGGCAAAAGTATTGCCAGTGATGTAGAGTCCGTCAAAAATGGCAATTGGTTTTTTGAGAGATATCTCACTGAATACAATTGTAAGTCTCTCTCTCTCTCTCTCTCTCTCTCAAATTTTAATTTAATTCATATTTTCTCCAAAGTCAAGGAAAGGGAGGCGGAAAAGGCTATAATAGAGGCGTTTGACTACTTCCATAAGGAAAGGTTTCATGAGTTGACTGACACATACTTCCCGTCCGAAGGTTTCGCAGTGGGAGGGATATACCGATTCGGTCGGTCCAAGTTTGGACAGCCATTACTCGGTGCTGTCATGAACCACATCCGACCTTTTGGACTGCGATTAGCCAAAGAATCCATTATAAAATTGACTCAAAAGTACTGTTTGTATAACATTTACAAAACACTATTCAATGCAAAAGAGAAGAATTTTATCGCTTATGTTGTGTTCACTAATACAACGCTTGAAAACACAGAATTCAGTGAGTATTATATTATTGCATAACTTTATTGCTATAAAATTTTACACTTTACAATATACAGTACTGTCTATAAACCTCACTACACTATTCATTTTACAGTGTAATCACTTAAACTCTGTAAAATTTACATTATACAATACATTTACATAGTATTTTATGATACTTTACTATAAATTTTCGCTCAAATGTATTCTAATATTAATTAAGACTTTATTATAAAATTTTGGGCATAAATTTCGAGGTCTATTTCAAAAGGCGATGTTCTTAATGAACAAATACATACCGGGCGCTCCCCTCAAGATATATGTCGTGGGTATGAATAAACTGATGGAAGTGTCGGTCAAACTATTGACAAATCTGTTGAAGCCGTCGCTGAAAAACCGCATTCACTTCGTCGACCGATTGGATCAAATGGAGGACTTAATCAGTTTAGATGAGGTGCCGGTGCACGCGGGCGGACGTAACACAGAGTATCAACGCATACCTCCAGGCGTTAGGAGTGGGAAGTGTTTACCACATCTACTCACGTATATTAGTCCTAAGGATTGGGATATTTATCGCGATATTAATATACTCGCCATTCAAGAGGGGATGAGGGAATCAAATGTCACTTCTTCTGTTGACCAGTATTTAAGAGGTTGTGACGAGTATTATAATAGGAAACGATTAGTGAGTCAACACACCATTAGTCTGTAAACAATTATAAATTTGTATTTGTTTGTGTGAATAATTAGTAAATTAATGTATTACAATAATATAATATTTTAATATTCTGTTAATCAATTGATTCTTTAATAATAAAATCATTAAAATATACATTTGAAATTTTAACATAAAATGCGCTAAATACTTTATAGAATTTTACATAAAATATTTATAGTGCGACAAATACTCTCATAAATTTTTATAAGTAAGGCACAATAAACCAGTAATATTATGTAATACAGGGAGAGATAACATTTTAACAAAATTTTTGCATACTTATCAATAATAGGTTTTATATTACTGTACTTTAATCTTAAGTATTAGTTTATATAACTTTGTGATGCATGCATTTCAATTATGTAAGTCATGACACGTTTGTTAAAGATTATATTATTTTTTAAGTATTAACAATAATAAATATATAACTCAAATAACAAATTGATATACATTTTAGGCATTTCCCTCTTATACTGCACATAAAGCCTAATACTGTACAAGCATAATTAACTAAACATCATACATTTAAATACGATATTAAAATATAAAACATTTATTAAGAATTTATTACATAAATAAATTTTACTGATGTTCTTATGTAAACATTACTGTAAGTAGGCATCTAATCTATAATCTATCTACTGTAGTATAATCTGGATATTTTTTACATTAAAATCCATAGAAACATCTAATACAAAATAACATTATAATATTAGATATCATAATTTATAATGTCCAAAATAAATTTTAGCTCCTGAGTTAAAAAAAATAAATGTCACACATGGACTCCAGATTCTGGAGTCCAGATTTCTTATAAAGTGCAGCGTGGTCATTTGAAAAATAAATTAATTTTCAAACGATAAGACCAAGCAACAAACAAAAGTTATACGCTATTCATATTAATGACCATTTTGGACTCATATTTCACATGTGATTCAACTTTGAAATGCAATCAAAACTTTTTTTCATTCAAAAGTATTGTATTCATTGAAATGCAATGTATTGCCAAAGTTATCAAAAGTAGTGTTCAATAAGTATTGCATTCAGTGATCATAAGGACTGCAAGTATCACGAGTTGTTTCAGTCGACCACTGCTTTCATTGAATACACGTTTAGTTAGTTTTGGTTTATAGTAATCGCTGTTAAATCCAATTGATTACCAATTCATTAGTGTCGGCAATGGACTCCAAACACAAACAAATGGTATTCAAAATACTTGTAATTACTTTATTTCATTGATTACACAATTGATAACCATTTGATTGATTCACAGCTGAGTCCAGTCATTAAAGGCAAAGCCATTGCTCTCATGAATGTCTCGAAGACTATTGATTTGCGTTTGAAGTTAAGACAAGTGATGGCAAATGGCTTTAGGAGTGATGTCCAGTTCAGACACAGTCCTCATGGAGAGGACAATGTGTTGGTCGCTCTGTTCGATGACAATGACATCGACTTCGAGGTTGGATTCGACAACAGATCCATTGATAAGCGAAGAATGGCTTTCACTATGACTTATGGCAAAGAGTATGAATACATCATAAGTCGTGGATTGGCGACACTCGTAGCACTGGAAACCAATGGCAATCACTTAAGATTCTTGAGTCCCAACAAACCGATGGCTAATCTGGTGGTGGATCTCGTGGCACAAAAAGCACAGATCAGTCGCGAGAGCTCAGAGATCCTGTGCTCACGGATTGGGTTTGCTTTCGAGGCCGAGAAGGGAACACCTAAAATGAATGGCAGACATCAGGAGTTGACTATTTTTGTGAAGACTTTGGCCGGAAAGACACTTGACTTGAAGATACGTCCGAATGAAGCAATCGATGACATCAAGGCTATGATACACGACAAGGAAGGCATTCGTCCTGATCAGCAAAGACTCATTTTCGATGGCAGACAACTCGAAGATTACAGGATTGCCAGTGATTACCACATTGAAGAGCATTCGACACTGCATTTGGTGTTGGAATTAAGAGGTGGCGGCGGAGGGCCGGGATATACACCACCTCCGGCTGTCAATGAGGGCATCGGTCCTCGAGGTGCCATTGGTTTCGGTGATGAGACGCGCCAACGGTTTGGTCGCAATCGTAGGAAATTCATTGCCGACGAAGACATTGAGATCAAGCCGTTTGTCATTGAACTCAGAATTAGAGACAAACACTCGCTTTCCACTCGTTCTCAGAGGCTTTCATTCAATTAAACACACTTTCATTTCACTGATCATTATAATTACATTTAAAATTGCTCATTTTATATGATGCTTACTTCATGCTAAATAATTTTTCATTATTATTACATTTAATATTCATTTAATTTCTATGTTTCACTTTTGTTTGCTTTTTAAAACTACTTTTAAATTTATTACAAATTATTGTGTTTTTATGGTTTTTATATTCATTTTAATTATTCTTTCGATTGAATAAAATTTATTAAAATAATATTTGTTTGTTCACTATCCATTATGACCTTGGTACAGTAATTTAATTAAATGTAGTTAACTAACAAGTAAGAAAAAGACATTTCCATATTACACAAACATTTATCAATACAGTATTAACAAATTATTAGACACTATTTTTAAAAAAAAGGTTTGTCAAAATTGTCTATGTATTAGTATTTAGTTTTGATCTAGTATTTATATTATTATAATAATATAATTATTGAAATATTTGGTGATCTACTGTACCTTATATACAAATTGAAAAGTAAATATTTCAAAACCTTTGTCATAAAAATGTCATATTTCTACAATAATTCATTCAAATGTTTACAACTATTAAAAGGAAAATTATTTGAAAGGAAATACTGTTAATATTGAACTGAATTTGATTTACCAAATAAAAATAACTACTAATATTAGTTGCAATTTATATAACACTCGATTTTTAGATTTTACAAAATTCATACTGAATAAGGAGCTAAATTATTATATAATAAACACCGGTATTATATTAACAAATAAACATATTTCAAAATACTGTATGTCTTGTCTACATTTACAAGTTAGTCAAATAATAGTCTACTTTATAAGTTACAATATTTATATAATATAAACTCAAACTTATATGAATACTGATGAATAAATCTCATTATAAATAACATTTTATTGTTTATACCATTTGATGAAAAAATATTTTTTGAAAATGTTATTCAACATAATTACTATTAACTTTATGATGTGTTGACACAAATTGTGTTAAATAATTAAAACAACTGTGCGTTTCATCAAACACTTGAGACAAACTTATTAGATAATTGATAGGCTTTCTGTAAGAAAAAGCTATCTCTAAATACAAATATTTGAATAATTTGATGAGTAATTATAAGGTTTAAATATAACTCATCAAATTATTCATCAAATTATTCATATATTTGTATTTAGAGATAGCTTTTTCGCACAGAAAGCCTATCATTTGATGACATTTAATATTAACATTTTTCAAATATAGTATTAACATTTCCAAATGGATGGTGTATAATATAAGTAATATTGATTTAATTTTAATTTCTTAACTTATTTGATAATAATTTATTAAATTGTCTTGATATTTGTGAGAATGTGGGAATTTCCGTATGAAAACTATACTTACTAGTATTGTTAGAAATGTTGAAATAAGTTTGTATGTTTTGTGAATCACAAGTTTTGAAAATATAATATATTTATCATTATGTGAAAATAACTACAATTTAATTTTGTTTAAATAGTTTAAATACAATTATAATCCTTTATGTTATTCTATGTCCATAACATGTTTATGAGGCCAAAAAGATTTGTATTTATTTTTATAACTGCTTCCGTATTCATAAGTGTATTCATTTATCATCAGAGACATTTAAATCATCAATTTCTGGAGCAAATGAATCAATTGAGTAAATCACATTTCAAATTTAATTAATTACTAACTATTATATTAAGCTGATTTCTAAGAATTAATAAATAATTTAAATGTATTCAAATATCAGGTCAAAAAGCTGCTTATTTAGTGAACACTCCGTTTTGTCAGATAATCCAATGGCCACTGTTTGACACGGATGTCATACCACTCTATGTGAACAAATCGGGTGATAGTATTGTCTGCAAACCAGCATTCAATGGATTGGACGATAGGATACTCATCGAGAGATTCAATGCAACCGCCATTCGAGTCATAAATGTGTTCAACGATAGGATCGAGTGTTTTGCCGCAAGTCTTGTCCGCAACACTGATGACATCATTTCGTTCACAAAACTCATCAAATTTGATGAAAAACTTGTCAAATACTTTCCCCACGATTTGGCTGTACTTATCAAATGCTCACTTGTTGACCAAGGGGTGTCCTTGTTCAGTTTTATGAAATCAAGTAACTATCATACTTCTAAACAAATAGTTTACAAAAATATGTTTAAGCACAATTAAAATGAATTTAAATTGAATTTATTTAATTTTTTAACATTTCATAGAAAGTATCGAAAGAGTTATACCACTCATACCGGAGATTAAACCACAAACGGACGCCAAACAAGACACTGATTTGCCAAACATATTGTTTGTGGGCTTTGACTCGGTTTCCAGACTTAACTTTGACAGACATATGCCGATCACGAGTCGGCTATTGGCCAGACATCACTTCTACACAATGTATGGCTTCAACAAAGTGGGTGACAATACTTTCCCCAATCTCACCCCACAATTGACCGGACATTATGTTCACGACATCTGGAGTGAGGACATGAAGACCACTCATTTCGATTACTTCCCATTCATATGGAAAGTAAGCTTTTCATTAAGTAATTTGTATTTAATTAATAATAATTTTATTAAAAATTTAATTATACAATAGGAATATAAAGAGAGGGGGTTTCTGACCCTTTACATGGAGGACCATCCAAGGCTTAATACATTCAATTGGAAACGCATTGGCTTTGATAGGCCGCCCACTCATTACTATTTGAGACCTTATTTTTTATCCATTAATGACAATACGGATGACAATTGCTATTATAGTAGACCACGGGTTGAGGTAACCGTTCAACCGTTACTTCTATTATTATCTAAACCATTGAACGTCTATTTTTTATTCATTACACTAAAACTACTCATTAATTATGATTATGTATTTTATTTATAGATATTTTACGAGTATTTATATGATTTTGTGAATACAATGCATGAAAGAAAGCAAAAGTATTTTGCCTATCATTTTATGGTGAAAGTAACGCACGACGACTTGAATGGAGT